TTTTGATTTGTATTTCCTTGATGAGTAGGGATGCTGAGCATCGTTTCATATGTCTGTTGGCCATCTGGATGTCCTCTTTGGAGAAGTGTCTGTTCATATCTTCTGCCCATTTCTTTACTGGGTTGTTTGTTTTTTGGGTGTGGAGTTTGGTGAGTTCCTTATAGATTCTGGATATCAACCCTTTATCTGATATGTCATTTGCAACTGTCTTTTCCCATTCTGTTGGTTGCCTATTAGTTTTGTGGGTTGTTTCCTTTGCCGTGCAGAAGCTTTTAATCTTGATGAGGTCCCATTCGTTTATTTTTGCTCTTGATTTCTTTGCTTTGGGGGATGTGTCAAGTAAGAGATTGCTGCGGTGGAGGTCAAAGAGGTTGTTTCCTGCTTTCTCTAGGGTTTTGATGGTTTCCTGTCTCACATTCAGGTCCTTTATCCATTTTGAGTTTATTTTTGTGTATGATGGGAGAAATTGATCTAGTTTCCTTCTTCTGCATGTTGCTGTCCAGTTCTCCCAACACCGTCTGTTAAAGAGGCTGTCTTTTTTCCATTGGATATCCTTTCCTGCTTTGTCAAATATCAGTTGGCTGTATACTTTTGGGTCCACTTCTGAGCTCTCAATTCTGTTCCATTGGTCTATGTGTCTGTTTTTGTGCCAATACCATACTGTCTTGATGACGACAGCTTTGTAGTAGAGGTTAAAGTCTGGGATGGTGATACCTCCCGTTTTGGTTTTATTTTTCAGTATTACTTTGGCTATTAGGGGTCTTTTGTGGTTCCATACAAATTTGAGGATAGTTTGCTCTAACTTTGAGAAGTATGCTGGTGCAATTTTGATTGGAATTGCGTTGAATGTGTAGATAGATAGCTTTGGGTAGTAATGACATCTTAACTATACTTATTCTTTCTATCCATGAGCATGGGATGTTTTTCCATTTCTCTGTGTCTTCTTCAATTTCCTTCATAAGTTTTCTATAGTATTCATCATATAGATCTTTTGTATCCTTGGTTAGGTTTATTCCTAGGTATTTTATGGTTTTTTGTGCAATTGTGAATGGGATCAGCTTCTTGATTTCTCTTTCTGTTGCTTCATTGTTGGTGTATAGAAATGCAACTGATTTAAAACAAATTTTTTAAAAAAGCATAAAACATGTACTTCCAGACCCAAATTTATCTTTAGTTTCTCTCTAAAAAACAAGAACAGATAAACCTGATGTTTAGTAGTCAGTGTTTCGGTATTCTGTCTTATTCGGAAAAGACTGAGATATCCAGTGAGTTCAAACCAATTTATCACTTAATTGAGCAAAACTTCAGAGTGTTAGATTATCAAAGATTTTGGAAGCTGTTTAAACATTTACCTATCAGTCTTTTCAGTTATTGAACCTATTTACTCTTTTAACAATTACCCATGAAAACTATGGGACAGACAAAATCTTAAGTTATTTTTAGTGACAAATTATAAACAGATACGTGAACGTGACTAGGTAGAAAAAAGGTTAATTATCTATTATATTCGAGGTTGATAACTCTAAAAGACCTATCTATTTTAATGAAACCGACAAGCTTAATTTTAATTTACAAAAATGATCCCAGATGTGTGAATGTGAAAAACATTTGGGGTACATATACCATATATATGACATTCTAAAATTATGTATATGTGACATTCTAAAATTATATATGACATTCTAAAATTGTACATATATGTGTGTATACAATTATGCATGTATACATGTATACACACATGTATATACACATTTTTTATAAGTATTTGTCTATGAGCCAGTTAAACAGAGCTCTTACCTGTTCCAACTGCCTGCTTCCAGTGACCCAAAAGTCGTCCGTCTGGGGCTGTAAGGAAAGGAGGAAGGGCTCTGGGTGGAGATTTCAGCTGGGAACAAGAAACGGACCAAACAACCAGGTGTGCTGGTGATTTCAGTCTGGTCTCTGCGAGGTCACTCCCATTTTGAAAGGTTGGATCATCCAAAGCCTGTGAGTGGCTGGGTCCTGTGATCTTCTGTCACCAGGGTGGTCCAGACTCAACTTGAATGGGTAGTCAGTTTCCCTGGAGTGTTCTGAGCATCATGCCGGCTTGCCCACACTTTGTGATACTGTCTCCAGTTTGTCTCTAAAAGCTGTGCCACGTGCCTGATACGGCTTATCCCAACAGAAATCCTTCTGAGTAACAGTATTCGGAGTGGCCCCTGGTCAGAACACCAGGCTGGCAGTCACAGGTGTGAAGAGTGAGAGCCCCCTCCGTCCCCCAGGGAGTCTGCCCCCTGCCACAGTAACTGGAACAGGTTTAGCCAGAGTGACCTTGTGCTGATGGCTGCTTCGTCTGTTGGGAACCAGGGAAACAGGCCAGAACCTGAGAAAGACACACCTGGGTTGCCAGACTTGTAAGTGAACTGAAGTGAATTTGCTCCTTGCCGAGTCACAGATAGAAACGACACCAAGTGGAGCTGTCACACAAGGGAAAGTTTGTGTAACAAATAAGGGGATCGCAGGGAATAACTTCTAAAGCCAAGACTCCTGGAGCAAGGAGTCTTTTATTTTGGCTTAGGGTGAATAATTTTATTTATTCAAATTTATTGTTATTATTTTTAATTTTTATTTATTTTTTGAGAGAGAGAGAGACAGAGCATGAGCAAGGGAGAGGTAGAGAGAGACGGAGACACAGAATCTGAAGCAGCTCCAGGCTCTGAGCTGTCAGCACAGAGCCCGATGCGGGGCTCAAACCCGCAAACCGTGAGATCATGACGTGAGCCGAAGTCAGACACTTAACTGACTGAGCCACCCAGGCACTCCTCCCCTCCCCTTCTTATATGTTCATCTATTTTGTTTTTTTTAATTCCACATATGAGTGAAATCATATGGTACTTGGCTTTCTCTGATTGAATTATTTTCCTTAGCATAATACATTCTAGCTCCATCCATGTCATCACTAATGGCAAGATGTCGTTCTTTTTGATGGCTGAGTAATATTCCACGGTGTGTGTATATGTGTGTGTGTGTGCGTGCATATACATATATATATATATATATATATATATGTATATGCACACACACAGATTGGAATATAATACATATACACAAACCACATCTTTATCCATTCATCACTTGATGGACATTTGGGCTCTTTCCATACTTTGGCTACTGCTGATAGTGCTGCTGTAAGCATTGGGGTACATGTACCCCTTTTTGTCTGTATTTTTGTATCCTTTGGATAAATACCAAGTAGTGCAATTGCTGGGTCATAGGGTAGTTCTATTTTTAGATTTTCTAGAATTCCACAATGTCCTCTCTTCTCTGCTGAGCACAATAGTGGATGGAAAGTTAGAATCTCTAGCAATACTCATATATATTTTTTCTTCTAATAAACAGATCTTGTGTCAAAGCCAGACCTGGTCATTTTTTTGGAGCCAAAGAAGGAGCCTCGGGATGTGAAAAGAAAGGAGACAGTAGCTACACACTCAGGTAGGTGGGCATGAATGACGCAGATGACAGAGGAGAGGTTCAAATGTCAGGGAGCAAGGTAGACCTCACATTGTGGCTTGGGCAGCCCTCCTTGAATAGAAATAAGTTTGAGAAGCATAGGTGTATTTCTCTTGCTGTCTCAGAGGGACACTTCCTGTCCAACACCGAGCAGGCTCTTACATCCTCTGCGGATTCTCCTTTAGCTCCAGTAATGGTCCATCACGTCCACAGCATGGATAACATCCTCCTCGTGGATGGGGAGGGCCTCCATGATCTGAGTGCTTTTGGAGGCCTAGGCAAGTCTGTGCGTATTTCTGAGGATTTCTATGTTATGTCTGCGTTCTTTTTTTTTTTTTTTTATGTCTTTGTTTTATTTTGAGAAACAGAGACAGCAAGTGGGGGAAGGGCAGAGAGAGAGGGAGACACAGAATCTGAAGCAGGCTCCAGGCTCTGAGCTGTCACCATAGAGCCTGATGCAGGGCTCGAACCCACGGACTATGAGATCATGACCTGAGCCAAAGTCGGACGCTTAACCGACTGAACCACTCAGGTGCCCCAAGTTATGTCTGAGTTCTGTTTTGCCTCCTGTCAGAAGAGTATGAGGATGGTGGGCATATGGGGATTTGGTGCGGAAATCTCAGAAACAGTGGAGACAGATTTCACCTGTTTTCTGCTTTTTGATTTCCAAGCTCATGGAAGCTTTAAACATTCTGTACAAAACTGAAACTCAGTAATTTCTTCAGATAACAAAGCACCTCCCTAAAAGGAGAAAATTGAATGCTTTATTTCACTTCAGTTTCCTTATTCTTTCTGGACTAACAGTAGAACTTGCAACCCAATTTTTTCCAGTTTCTCAATTGTTAAATAACTTAATGTTTCTATTTGTATCCAAGAGATCCTACATAAGGTACTGCCATATGGGAGCTGGAACATTTAGAACTTAGAGCACATTAAGGGGGCGCCTGGGTGGCTCAGTCAGTGAAGTGTCTGATTTTTGATCTTGGCTCAAGTCGTGATCTCAAGGTTCCTGGGATCCAGCCCTGTGTTGGTTCTGTGCTGACAGCGTGGAGCCTGCTTGGGATTCTGTCTCTCCCTTTCTGCCTCTCTCTCTCTCTCTCTCTCTCTCAAAAATAAATGAATACACTTAAAAAAAAGAAGTGAGTTATGTAGTTAAGTCCCATATTAAAAAAATGTTTTGTTCATACATGTAATTTATTTCAAGAAAAATTAATCCTCAGGTTTTTCTTCTTTCCTGAGAATGTGTCTGAATTTCATACCCAAGCTTTATTTATTTAGAGTTTTTTTAAGCTTATTTATTTTGAGAGAGTGCATATACACAAGCGGCAGAGAGGCAGATGGAGAGGGAGATTGAGAATCCCAAGCACGCTCTGCACTTAGTACAGAGCCTGACGCGGGGCTCAGACTCGTGAACCATGAGAGTGTAACCTGAGCCAAAGTCAAGAGTTGGACATTTCACTGACTGAGCCACCCAGGAGCCCCTCATCTCAGTATATTTTAAGACAGTGTGGGTTTCACTTGACTATTCCTTAGCTGTATGTCCTTTGCCAGTAAAATTACATATGTATTTGTATAAATACCACCCATTCATACTTTACTTGTGACTCTGCTTGTTTATTTCTTTCCATGGTTGGTGGTCACTGAATGTTTTATCATGTCTTGGTGGGTTGTCATAGTAACAGAATTAATTTCACCAAGTATGGTTTCAGGACTGGAACCCAGTGATTCTTTACTTCCATATGACACCCAGTGCTCATCCCAGCAAGTGTCCTCCTTAATGCCCCTCACCCATTTAACCCATCCCCTCCCACATCCCCTCCAGCAACCCCCAGTTTGTTCTTTGTGTTTAAGAGTCTCTTGTGGTCTGCCTCCCTCTCTGTTTTTATCTTATTTCTCTTTCTCTTCCCGTGTTCACCCGTTTTGTTTTTTAAATTCCACGTATGAGTGAAATCATAATGATATTTATCTTTCCCTGACTGACTTATTTTGCTTAGCAGTATACACTTACTTCCATCCACTAAGCGTCGACTCTTTTTTTTAAATTTTAAAAAATGTTTTATTTATTTTTGAGAGAGACAGAGTGTGAGCAGGGAAAGGGCAGAGAGAGAGAGACACACACACAGAATCCGAAGCAGGCTCCAGGCTCTGAGCTGTCAGCACAGAGCCCGACGCGGGGCTCAAACCCATGAACCGTGAGATCATGGCCTGAGCCGAAGTTCATCACTTAGCCAGCTGAGCCATCCAGTTGCCCCTAGCGTCGACTCTTGATCTCAGCTCAGGTCTTGATCTCAGGGTCCTGAGTTCAAGGTCCACCTTGGGTGTCCTGCAGGGCCTGAAATTTCCTTTAAAAAAAAATTCCGTAGCAGAAATTAAAGGAACTTGTGCTACCTTATTACAACACTACACATTTCTATAATTGTGCAAATATTTATATTTAGTAGAGACCTTTGTATTCTCATGTGATTTTAGTTCCTGTTTAGAATCCTTTTATTTCAGCCAGAAGGATTCCCTTTAATGTTTCTTGTAGGGCAGGTGTACTGGTAAAGTTCTAGAGGTTTTTGCTTGGGAAAGCCTCCATTGCTTCATTTTTGAAAACCAGTTTTGCCAGATACAGTATTCTTGGTTGGTGTTTTTTTTATCTTTCTGCACTTGAATATATTATTCCATGCACTTCTTTTTAGAAGGTCTGCTGAGAAAGCCACTTCTAATCTGATAGGAGCTCTCTTGTACGAGATGAGTTGTTTTTCTCAAGCTGTTTCAAAATTCTCTTTTCACCTGTGGTTTTTGCTAGGTTAATTATAATGTGTCACTTGCTCTTGTCCTGACATTTATCCTACTTAGAATTCACTGAGCTCCTTGAATTTGTTTCTTTCTTCCCAGCAAGGTGGGAAGTACAAGGTGTTCCTCACTGGAGTGCTCTGCTCCCTTTCCCTCTCCTCTGTCTGCAGTCCCTTTAATGTGCATATTGGCGCATTTGTGGGTGTCCCAGGAGTCCCTTACCCTATCTTCTTCCACGTTTTTCTTTGCTCCTCATAGATACCTTATTTAAAAAAATGTTTTTGGGGGAGCACCTGAGGGCACAGTCAGTTAGGTTCCTGACTTCAGCTCAGGTCATGATCTCATGGTTCCTGGATTCGAGCCCCAAGTCGGGCTCTGTGCTGACAGCTGAGAGCCTGGAGCCTGTTTCAGATTCTGTGTCTCCCTCTCTCTCCACCCCTTCCCTGCTCACCCTCTGTCCTTCTCTCTCTCAAAAATAAATAAACAGTAAGGATCAGCTTTAAAAAAAAGCTTATGTCAATAAATAAATATAGCAGTTTCAAAATTGATGATTTCCTTGCAGACCAAAATGTTACAAATTAATAATGGGAATTATTTCCTCCACATTGCATTGAGTTTATTTCTCCCAAACTTCATGTCTCTTGGTTTGAGAATCTCCCCCCCCAAATCCTGTCTTACCTACCTGAGTTTACTTGCATATAGGACCTACTTATTTTTCTTTGTTCCACTGTTCATGAACCGTTGCTCACATGACTTGCTCAGGGATTTTAGGAATGGTTTTCATCAAAATAAATGGTGTTCGGATATTAATTCAAATATAGGAGTAATTCCACAGTGAGTATATTACATTGCTTATTGTTTAATTGATATATTTCATTTCTTTCTTGAGTGAAGAACACAAAGTCAGCTTTCTTTAATTATTGTTCTTTTCCTTGGAAGACGTGATGTCATCCGGGTTACTCACCTCGGTGTAACAGTTTGATCAGGGGAAAACTTGGACACTTCAGGAGGCATGGGTTGTTCTTGTTGGTTTTTTGGGGTTTTTTTATGTTTTATTTCTTTCTGAGAGAGAGAGAGAGAGCGTGAACAGGGGAGGGTCAGAGAGAGAGGGAGATACAGAATCTGAAACAGGCTCTAGGCTCTGAGCTGTCAGCACAGATCCCGACGTGGGGCTTGAACCCACGAACCGTGAGAACATGACCTGAGCCAAAGTCGGAGACTTAACTGACTGAGCCACCCAGGCACCCTACCATGGGTTGTTTTGACATTGATTTGAAGTGAAACCAACACTGGAACAGTGCTGGGTGCATAGTAGATCTTGTATACTTAGGAAGGAAGTAATATTACAGCTCTAGGTAAGAGATAAAAAACATCCATGCTGATGTATTGGCATGAATTCCACATGTGGGGACAGGGCATCTGTCCAGGGCTGCACTAGTGATTCTGAACTTAGGAAGATAAATTCTACTTATTTTCTCTCTAAGTCATCTCCAGTTTTTCTCCGTCTCCTCATCTCCATTCCCTGTGACACACCCCCCACAGCTGCCCTCCTCCCGCGTCACCACACAGGCCCTTGTACTTTGGAATTCCAGTATTTTGGAATTTTTCTAATTCACAAGGAAATTATTTTTTAAAATTTGTTTAAGTATATTTATTTATTTTTGAGAGAGAGACAGAGAGAGCGAGTTGTGGAGGGGCAGAGAGAGAGAATCCCAAGCAGGCTCCGCACTGCTAGCACGAAGCCCGATGTGGGTCTTGAACTCACACGAACCAAGAGATCATGACCTGAGCCAAAACCAAGAGTCTGATGCTTAACCAGCTGCCCACCCAGGTACCCCACCAGGAAATGATTTTTAAGTGGGTCATTTGAGGCTATATTTAAGATTGAAGTACAACATTGTCACCACTTTGTTAGAAGAACAGGGGAGCAGTGTCAGCCGGCCACAGGATTAACTCAGGCCCTTGGCACCAAGAGAGTTGTGAAGGCAGATAAAGCGTGATGGTGGTACTCTTCGAGAAGAAGACAAGACCTGCTGACATCCAAGTCGGAGAACTCTTGAAATGTGAGGATAGACCTGGTAGGGAGCTCCTCTTAGTCACCCCAAGGTCTTAGGAAGCTTCTTGTGATGAACAAGTGTGGCAGAGATGGGAACTTGGGGACCAACGTGGGGGTTTTCTGGGATTGAGGGAAGTCAGATCCTTTT